CAGTGGCAGGAGGCTCCCGGGGAGTGGGGCTGGGAGCACACTTGACAGCTGGCCCTGCACCCCAGGGACCATCAAATAATTGTGTAACTGATAACATGTTATGTGGTTACACGATTATTCAATTAAACAATATCTAACATCCCTAATGTAGACCTGGCCAGAGCATCAGCACAAGCGGTAGAGGCTTGTGCTTCTTGGAACCAGTGTTCTTAAGTAAGTGCTGTTGAGCTGGGACATCTCTGCAGTGCTTATTGTCTATGGACACAGATTCATGGCACTGCCATTTAGTTTACAGAACAGGAATGTTTCACCTTTGAACCATTTTTCCTCCCTGTGTTTTGTGCATTTTTGCAAGGGCAATCGGAGATGGTAAAGCTACTTGTGCACCATGGCGCTCGCCTCTGCTTGAGAAATGACGTGGGTTGGACCCCCGCTCATTTTGCTGCGGAATCAGGGAGACTCGGCGTGCTAAGGACGCTTCATTTTTTGCACGCGGCCATCGATGCGGCCGATCTCTTTGGGGACACGCCGAAAAGGATCGCAGAAATCTACGGACACAAAGACTGTGTGAAGTTCTTAGAAATGTGAGTGTGGAGAGGGTTGTGCAAACAGCTGCCGTAAAGGGAGGGGGAAGCCAGTGAAGGTGAAATGTGCTTCAATACACAAAGCTGTTCTGCCCATAGGACAGTTCGAGGTGGCCCTGCACTTTGGGTGGCCCCATGGTGGCTGCCTCCACCATCCTATGGACAGGGGCCAAGTTGGTTCAGGGGGATTACTTGGGGTACTTGGCATGGGCCCGCAGAGGGGTTGTCCCGCATTTGCAGTGGTGGGAGCTAGAGTAACCCAGCAGCCTGCTCTGCTCTACCTCGCCCCACGACAGGAGCATAAAGCAGAGTACCTCAGCCCCAGGCTGCTCCGGTTCCCACCATCAGGATGAAGCGGAGCACAATGGGCTGAGAGAGGGCGGTGGGCTGCTGAGTTTCTCCGGCTCCTGCCCCCGAGGTGAGTGTGTGGGGGAGGGGAAAATCCCTGCTGTCACCTTGTCACCCCAGTAATCCCCAGACTTGTGTTGTTCAGGGGAGGGGACTTCAGGCAAAGGGGGTGGGGTTTGGGGAAGGAGTACAGCAGGGCAGAGGTGGAACAGAGGTGGGGAGGGTCCTGCAACGGGGGATTGCCCTGGGTCCTAGGTATGACCTTGCCTGTACAGGGGGTCAGTACAATGGCCTATGCACGATTTACCTTTCAACTGGAACCCTGCGCTAGCCCTGGGGTTTACGTGGTATATAAATGTGCTTAGCCCTTCTGCTGGGCTCCTGCCCAGGGGTGAGCAAATGGAAAAACCTTCATTGATTTCAGTGAGTCCATTGAGCCAGTTATCGGAAGCTTCTGCTGCCATTGGACAGGACTTCATCGTTTTCTATCACTTCAAGGTGTTCTGGTAATGGATGCAGGTTTACAAAAGAGATAAGCTCCCAGGGGCTGGCTGTAAGGCACATAAATAGGTGGCTGGAATTTTAAATGCTCACTAACTAAGCACAGAAACTATGTGGCCAGGTTTTCGAGAACAACAGGAGCCTCTGGGTACTGAACCCTTGTGAAAATCTGGCTGCTTCCCAGAGGTGTGTATCATATAATCATAAACTCCTAGGGCTGGAAGAGACCTCAGGAGGTCATCGAGTCCTGCCCTCTGCCCAAAGCAGGACCAGCCCCAACTAAATCAACCCAGCCAGAGCTGTGTCAAGCTGAAACTTAAAAACTGCTAGGGATGGAGAGTCCACCCCCTCCCTAGGTAACCCATTCCAGTGCTTCACCACCCTCTTAGTGAAATAGCTTTTCCTAATATCCAACCTAGACCTTCCCCACTGTAACTTGAGACCATTGCTCTTTGTTGTGTCATCCGTCACTACTGAGAACAGCCTCTCTCCATCCTCTTTGGAACCTCCCTTCAGGAAGTTGAAGGCTGCTATCAAATCCCCTCTCATTCTTCTCTTCTGTAGACTAAATAAGCCAAAATCTCCAACCTCTCCTCGTATGTCATATGTTCCAGCATCCCTAATCATTTTGATTGCCCTCTGCTGGACCCTCTCCAATGCATCCATATCCTTTCTATACTGGGGGGCCCAGAACTGGATGCAATACTCCAGATGTGGCCTCACCAGTGCTGAATAAAGGGGAATAATCACTTCTCTAGATCTGCTGGAAATGTTCCTCCTAATGCAACCTAATATTCCATTAGCCTTCTTGGCTACAAGGGCATCCTGTTGACTCATCTCCAGCTTCTCACCCACTGTAATCCCCAGGTTCTTTTCTGCCAAATCATTGCTTAGCCAGTCGGTCCCCAGCCTGTAACAATGCTTGAGCTTCTTCCATCCCAAGTGCATCCTATTTCTTTTGGCATACGGGGGAGCTGCGCTGTTCAGAAACCTATGGGTATGTTTCCAGTTCAATAAAACAATGTTATAGCCTCCCAGACTGAGCCTGTGTCAGATGACTCAGGCCATCTGTGGCTGTTTTATTCCACTATAGACATTCCAGGCTCGCCTGCAGGGGGGACAAATGGGGGAGCTGTTCCAGGGCGCATCGATTGAAAAGGTCCTGGGACTTCTGGCTACTCCAGCAGTGGCAGCCAGAGCCCTGGGCCCTTTAAATTATCGCCGGAGTGCCAGGCGGTACACTCTAGAAGCTCTGAGGGCTGGCGGGGGATGGAGTGGTCTGCAGCATGATGCACACCAGGTAGCATTGAGAGCTGGCTGCCCCAGCCCCGTCCCTTTTGCCCAAAACCCCACCCCTTGTGAGACTATGGAGCCTCCCCCCTCTATCTTACCCAGGGGTCCGGTAAGTCTGTCGGCCCCCTTGCATACCCATAGTTTCCACATCAAGGCTGATGAGCAACAGCTGTGTCCTGGTTATATGATAGAAGAAAGAGAATACAGACTAACCAGCTTTCTTCAATTTGTGCTGTGTCTGCTACGTGTTTGCTCAGGATTGAATAGTGGGACCATGAGCTTTTCATGTTTATTTCCCAAAACAAAATATACTACTCTAGGCAATACAGCTGACACGAACCTGTTCCAGCTGTCTGTGTCTAACCCCAATAAATCCCAGCTGTTGCTTTGGAAGATAGAAGAGAGATTATCTAGTAGCCTGAGCTGGCCAGAAAGTGACAATTCAATTCTGCAAAGAGTTTTGAGATTTTGTTGTGTCTTGCCACATTTCAGATGAAAAAAGATTTTGTGCAAAATGCTCCAACCAGCTCTATTGTCTCAGAAATGCCTCAAGCATGTGTAAGGCTTCTCACTAGCAAGTGTTTGAATTCGGAATGGTTAACCATGCCTCTTTTTCTTCACAAACATTCATGCTGGGATTGCGTTGGGATTATGTTCCTCTAGATATTTATGGGGCGGGTTGGTCGTTCGTCAGATGGCTACCCAGATTCACATGCAAAAGGCGGTTTTCATGCATAAAGAGGACCGTATGTTTGTGGAAGCTCTCTTCCACACAAAGGTGGACTACAACCTATCGGGAACTGTATCCCTGATGATGTCACAGCACAGCTGGTTGCTGAGCTTTGTGACTTTGTTCTCCCCCTAATCATTTCAGATTTGGGGATAATTTATAGCTTCAAGTCAGCAGCACCGCCATGGGTACTCAGATGGCCACCTGTATGCTGACATTTTTATGACTGACTTAGAACAACGCTTCATCAGTGCCCATCCCTAAGTGCCTCTCCTCTACTTGCATTACACTGATGACATCCTCATCATCTGGACCCACGAGAAGGAGACCCTTGAAGAATTCCACCAGGATTTCAATAATTTCCATCCCACAATCAATCTCAGGCTGGACCACTCCACACAAGAAATCCACTTCCTGCACACTACAGTACAAATAAGTGCTGATCATGTAAACACTACCCTATACTGGACACACGGTAACCACTTTTCTTACCTACATGTTTCCAGTTTTCATCCAGAACACATCAAATGCCACTGTCTACAGCCAAGCCCTAAGATACAACCACAGACAGAGACAAACACCTACAGAATTCTTAAACCTATAATATCCTCCTGGGTAAATGGAGAAACAAATTGACAGAGCCAGACGGGTACCACAAAGACACACCCAACGACGAAAGCAACAAAATGCCACTAGCCGTTACCTACAGCCCCCTGGTAAAACCGCTCCAACACATCATCAAGGATTTACAACCTATCCTAGATGATAAACCCTTGTTCTCACAGACCTTGGGAGGCAGGCCAGTCCTCGCTTATAGACAGCCCCCTAACCTGAAGCACGCCACCAACCATGCACCCCACGACAGAAACACTAACCCAGGAACCAGTCCCTGCAACAAACCCCTTTGCCAACTTTGTTCACACATCTATCCTAGGCTACGTCTAGACTATAAGACTTTTTCAAAAGAGAGTGTCTAGACTACAAGCAGACTTTTCAAAAAAGCGAGCTGCTTTTTCAAAAGAGAGTCTAGACACTCTCTTTTGAAAAAACACAGTTTGCATTCAATTGTGCCTTTTTTTGAAAGAGTACTTTCGAAAAAAGGTGTTATTCCTCGTAAAATGAGGTTTACCGCGATCAAAAAAACTGCCGCGTTCTTTCAATTTACTTTTGAAAGAATGCGGCTGCAGTCTAGATGCAGGTGAAGTGTTTTCGAAAAAAGGCTACTTTTTTCGAAAAAACCCTGTAGTCTATACACACCCTAGTGACAACATCATAGGATGTAACCACATTACCCATACCACCAAAGGCTTACTCACCTGCACATCTACTAATGTAATATACGCCATCACGTGTCAGCAATGCCCCTCTGCCCTGTACATCGCACAAACTCGACTGTCTCTACGCAACAGAATAAATAGACACAAATCAGACATCAAGCATGGTATCATATAGAACCAGTGGGAGAACATTTTAACCTCCTTAGACACACAGTTACAGACTTGGAAGTTACCATTCTCACCAAAACAGCTTCAGAAACAGGCTGTAATATGATATTGCTGAGCTGGAATTCATATGTAAATTTGTCATCATCAGAATGGGTCTGAATAGTAACTGGGGGTATGTCTACACTATCCCACTAGTTCGAACTAGCGGGGTAATGTATGCATACCGAATGTGCAAATGAAGCCCGGGATTTGAATTTCCCGGGCTTTATTTGCATAAGCGGGGAGCCACCATTTTTAAATCCCCGCTGGTTTGAACCCCGTGCAGCGCGGCTACACGGGGCTCGAACTAGGTAGTTCGGAATAGGAACAACAAAAACAAGGATTCCAGTGGTACCTTAAAGACTAACAATTTTATTATGGCATAAGCATTTGTGAGTTCCAACTCACTTCATCAGATGCATGAGGTGAAAGAAAAAGAAATAAATAGTAAGGTTACAGAGGTAGGAGTGTTACATAAGAGCTAATTCAATCAAGATGGATGTGGATAAGAAGGGGAGATTACCTAAAGTGGAAAATTACTTAGGAGAGAGCCATTCCCAGGGTATGTCTACACTACCCCGCTAGTTCGAACTAGCGGGGTAGTGTAGACATACCCTGGGAATGGCTCTCTCCTAAGTAATTTT